AGAATTTTTAACATTTATTTTTTAGTTCTCGGCGGACACAACATCTTTGTTGGTATGTGGTGCTGAGGATCGAACCTGGGCCGCACGCATGCCAGGCGAGTGCGCCACCACTTGAGCCACATCCCCAGCCCCTCGTTTCTTTTTTTAAACACTGGGGACTGAGCCCAGAGGTCCTCTTCCACTGCCTCACACCCCCAGCCCTTTTTATATTTTATTTTGAGACAAGGTCTTGCTCAGTTGTTGAGGCTGGCCTCAAACTTGCCATCCTCCTGCCTCAGTCTACCTAAGCCTCCTGAGCATGGGGCCACCACACCCAGACTTCAAACTTTGTATTTTAAGAAAAGTTCAGACTTCGGGAAGAGCCATGTGAGCCTTCCTGTGCACCCTCTGCCTGCCTCAGTGTTGACATTTTACTTGGTCTCAATGTGACTGTCTGCCRTGGGGAGTTAACTCCAACACAGTGTAGTGGACTAGTCCACAGGCTGTGGTGCCCCCTGGGGTCCCGCCGGGTGGGTGCCAGGACTGCGCCACCTATGTGTTTCAGACCTGCCTGACACCTTTCTGGGTTAGGTTTGCCATGGTGCAGGAAGACCCCTTCTGGGGTGGTCGGAGCTCAAGCCTTGGTCTCTTCTCTGGAGCTTTGCCTCTGGCCACAGGTACCTGTCCTTCACCTGCAGGTGATGCAGGCCCTGGTTTCTGTGGGGAGAGGGTTCGCAGGGTGCAGCTCCGCTGCCAAGCTCTGTGCCAGGGCTTGGTTCTTCCCTACCTGTCAGTCCTGATGGCTCTGTCTGCTTGTCTGTCTGCCCGATGGTGTCCTGTTTGGCAGCTGTAGAGACTGCTGTCCTCAGGCCTCTGGGTCCACCCCAAGGCTGCAGGCAGCCTCTCCTCCCTGCTGGCGGCCTGGTAGCTGCTGATCCTTGATCTTTGATCCTCAGCATTGATCTCTATCTAAATGTTCTCCGGCCCCACAGCGGCCCCACAGCCGAAGTGTTTCAGCAAAGAGGACTTGCTCCTGCCTCTCCGGTCCCCAGCTGGGCTCTGCCCGCCTCCTGTTCCCTGGCTTCTTCTCAGCTGTGACAGGCCTCAGAGCCTCCCAGTCGCTGAGGAGCTCCCTGGTGAGACCTGGTGAGATSCTGCTTCTGCCTCTCTGACTAGCGTCCATGGCCCTGGCGTGCTGCTTGGTGGAGGCCTCCTGGAGCCGAGGCTGTCTCAGGTCTGTGGCAGCTGAGGTTCTCCTTCGCTCTTCTCCCTCCTTCCTCTCTGGGCTCACTTCTTTGTGCGCCTCTGCTGGTTTCTGCCAAGAGGCCCTGGAGGCCACTGGAGGTGCAGGCGCCCTGTTCCAGGCCCCTGGCAGGTCCTGGTCCTGCCGCACTCCCCAGAGACRGCTCCTCTGCCTGCCAGGGGTCTGTGCTGCCTCCCCTCCTCATCTCCCCCACGACCTGGGCTTCTGCAGCAGTGAGCCCTCAGCTGCCTGGGCCTCGGCCTCCTTGAATTCTGTCGCAGACGTCCACACTGGTGTTTAGGGTGCAGAGCCCCCTTGKCCAGGGCCTCCAGGAAGGACAGCGGCCTGGGTAACGCCTGTGGGTCTTGCTGGCCCTCACCTGGCCCTGCTCCCTCCTCATGGCACCTATGGRTCATAATAGGTGAGTGGGCATTTGAGAGAGCTCTACTGTCCTGAAGACATGCTGAGAGTGAGCATGCATCCCGAAGCTGAGGTCTCCTGGCCCTGCTCTAGGTGTGGTGGGCAGCAGGTGGGTCTGTTGAGAGGCCCAGGTCCCCCACCTGCTCCTCTCTGCCCTGGACCCTGAGGGGAGCTCAAGATTCACCCAGTGCCATCTGGCCGATGGCCAGTGATGGGCTTGTCTCACCACGCGGGTGCTACCAGCAGCACACAGGCTGCCTCACTGGGAGGACAGGTGGACCTGGGCATGTGCACACTCGGCCGTGTGTCCTAGCAGCTGGACAACGCAGGCCATTGGCTCCCTGGGTTCCAGCTCTGCATTTTCAGGAGATGGACAGCAGAACACAGGGAGGCAGTGGGAGCCTGTCCCACAATGTCCACGCCTATCCTGGGGGTGGCACTGTGGCCCATTGCCTGGGAGGACACAGAAGCTCCGAACTCAGCCTGAAGAACAGCGGCTGTGGGCATCGCCCTGTCCACTGGGTTGCTCTGCTGTTTCCCGGAAAGGAGGGAGTGGCCACCACCTCCACTACTCCTGCTGCCCTCTCCGCCCCGGCCCCCCTGGTGCAAACTTTTGTCCCCAAGCCTGGCTCCAGGGGTCTGTTTTGAMGGAGCCCTACAAAGCAAGCCAAGGCCAGTTTGTGGAGGCTATAGCTGCAGGGACGCAGGCAGCCAGGGACTGGCACACCCCACCTTTCTGCTGGGGTCTTCCACAGGCAGCGGAGGCCAGTCTCAACTCCAGGGAGCAGGAGCAAGGGCAGGGCAGTGGGTCTGCAGGAAGGGCTGCCAGGCGCTCCCTCCATCCTGCATCCTGGCAGCTGGCAGTCACACCTGCACTTCTCCTGGGACTTCAGCTGTTTGGGGGCCTAAGATAATCTTGAGATGACTTTTGGTCTTTGTCCTTAGTTCCTGGCACAGGACTCTTAAAACCTTTGGAATTTCCTGAGTGATGGGAATATGCTGTTACTTGCCGGGTGCCTCTTTGGGGTAGAATGGAGTTTGTGCATTGAGTGGCTCAGGCAAGCCCTGGGCAGCAGGATGCACTGGTCCCAGAAGTGGAGCATTAGAGGGAACTCCGCCTCCCCTCGGCCTCCGGGAAGTGCACACTGGAGATGGGGCCCCATGAAGACCTGAGGGCCCTCTCCAGGTTGCTGAGCAGGCCCAGGGCCACTCACCTTACCCTGCACCTCTCGGCTGTCGGGCAGTGTTTCCATGGTGATGTGTTCCCAGATCTGACAGTGGTCCTGGCAGAGTGGCTGGACTTGAAGAGATTCATGGGAACCCTGGTGTGTAACCATCACGCCCTGGGCCTGTGGGCTTCCGCACCTCGACTGCTCTTGGAGCCTTGAGTCGCCCCTTCAGTCTCAGGTGTCCCCCTGGCAGGGGAGCCCCGGCCCTGGCTTCCCTCCTGGCCTGCGGCTGTGAAGGCACRCTGCCAGCTCCTCCATGAGACACTCGGCTGTTTTCTTCTTTGGTTGTCTTTGCTCTGAGTGGCTCCGCAGAGCTCCAGACAGACTTTCTCAACGGCAGGGGAGCACACCTCCCAGGGCCGCCTGGCTCTGGCTAAACCTGGCTTAGGAAGTGCCTGGGTGATTTTCGCCTGTTGCTCCTATTACCTGCTCTAGCTAGAAAGGTCACATCCTGCAGAGTCTCTGGAATCTGTTTGCTTCTGTCCTGCCAACTACCCTGGGCAGCGATGTGCACGGGGCCTGGGAGCCAGGGGTGGCGCAGCACGGAGGCTGTCCGCCTGTCCACCCTGGAGCACGAGTGAGGGGGCGTTCTCAAGGTGCTGTGGGCCTCTCTGCTGGCYACTGCAGCCTCGGGAGGAGGTGGCACCCTATCAGTGTCCTTTGGGAGTGGAGAGGGGAACAGGGCAGAGGACGGCGTGGGCACAGGAGCAGGGCAGACAGTGGCCACTGAGGCCATGCAGCGGGTGCATGGGAGAAAGGGTCTGTATGATGACTTCCTGTGCTGTCCTGTGCACATCTGTGGCCAGGGAGCTCACCCTGTGGGTGCTAGTGTGGCCCAGGTGCTGGCTGGTGGAGGAGTGGCACAGCAGCCTGTTCTCAGGGAACGCTGCGGTAGTGAGGTGAAGGGACCATGTGTCTGGCTCCTGTATGAGGCCTGGGCCAGGAACAGAGCGTCCCARGTGGCACCCTGGGCCCTGGGTATCTCACGACCAGAGTGAGCAGTGGGAGGGCAGGTGTCAGGCTGCCTCCAGCCCTGGATGACGCTGCCCGTGTCACACAGCCTCATGGCCTCAGCAGAGACAAGGGCCCTGGGCTCTGGGGGCAGCCCGACCTGCTGCTGTGGCRGCTTTGCCTGGAAAGCTGTGACTCCCTCAGCAGGAACCGTGGAGACCTTCCTGGCAGAGGGAGCTGCTCAGCCCAGGGTGAGCTGAGAGGCCTGTGCTCTGAGTCCAGACAGGAAGCCCACGCACCTCGTCCTCCCTGGCAGAGAACAGGGACAGTGGGAGCTGGTGGTGTTCCCCCAAGCTTAGGCAGCGCCTGTGTGACAGGTCCCAGGCCGGAGGGACAGGGTGCCGCTTGGTCTCCTTATCAAGATCTGGGTCGGCCGTGGAAAGTGGCACCCACAGGGGCTGGGAAACAGCCCCCTGACAGTGGTGTGCTGGTGAAGGCACGTGGGCAGCCATCTGGAGGGGGCTGTGCTGGCTAGTCCCACGGGCTATTGAGCTGCTTCAGAAAGGAGCCCCCAGGGTGCCCAGGGCATTGGATGATGGCAAGGTGACGGGTCTACCTCCAGCCAGCCCTGGACCCGGTAGGAAGGGATGGGATAGAGCAAGCTCTCCCTGTGTCCCCGTCTCAGGCCAGAGCCCAGTAAAGAGCCGTCCTCACCCTGGGGCAGCGGGACCCCATGCACGTGGGTGGCTGAGAGAGACTGYGTTTGCTGGCTCAGTAATAGCCGGCTGGACAGATGGGTGGAGCTGTGGGTGGGGCTGACCACAGAGCCTCCAGCCTTGCCCTGCACCAGGAGCAGGGAAGGGTCGCAGTCACACTGTGGGGAGTTGGGCTGGGTCTCCACGGCTGTCTGGGGAGCCTGGAGCACACAGGTGGATGAGCAGGGAGCCGGGAGGCCTTGGGAGGCCGCAGCGTAGGACTCACCCATGAGGTGAGGTGTGGGTGGGGCTGTCCCGAGGTGGACCTGGGGAGTTCAGGGACCAGCAGAGCACCCTGCTGCAGGCCGGGTGACTGGGAGAGCCAGGGAAGGTGAAGGGCGCCCTTTTAAATGCAAAGCTGAACCCAGAGAAGAAAGTGTGGCCAGGTGTCGAGGCAGGAACCCAGGACCCAGGAGTGTGCTCCAGAGGCTCTGTCTACTTTGGAAGGGGGGMCTTGGTCCTTGTGATGGAGCAGGTCTTTGTCACCGAGGGTTGCATAGAGCAAGAACTAGGAGAGTGCCCTGGCACAAGGGAGAAGGTGGGCAGATCTGGCCCTGCCCACAGCTGTAGGAGTGGCCATCTGGCGTGAGCATGGCTATACAGGCCTGAGGCAGGGCACGGGCAGGGGCAGGGGCAGCCTCCGCCTGGAGACCATGGAGCTCTGCAGGGTCTTRGGGGCCAGGCGGTCTTGGTCTCCTGCCAGGAAGGAGGGCGAGCCCAGAGGGGGGTGACCACTGAGGCTGAGCTATTGCAGTGACCAAGGCCTGCAGGGCTCTGGRTGGGGTGGGAGAGGAAGGGCCAAGGTCAGCCTGGCCTACACTGTGGACAYAGCCCTCAGGACCTGCTAGAGAGCTGCTGTGTGAGGGAGAGGAGGGTCAGCTGGGTGTGGCCCTGGAGTTGGTCCATTTTTTAGGGGCAGTGGACTCTATGTCGACCTGAAGACAAGTCTGAGTGCACGTGCCCTGTTCAGCTCCCCCTGCAGCTCTGGCTCTGGGGCTTCTCGTGGTAACCGAGCTCCTTTCCTCAGCAGCCCAGCCTCTGCTTCCRCGCCCTGCTGGGGAGAGGCAGTGTCAGGGGCCATGTGCGTGCCAGCCGGGACCACGGCGTCCTCTCCTCTGCCAGCATCCTCGCACCTGGGCAGTGGCCGTGACCCATGCTGCCCGCCCTCCAGATAAGCTGGTTCTCCTGGGCAGGACCCCAGCATGTCATCTTCCACCAAACCCGAGGCTCCGGAGAGCGCTCCCGGCCCTGCAGAGGAGCCCAAGGGACAGTCGGCTCCAGCCTGGGGCGCTCTTCTCGGTCACCGAAGCGAGAAGATGGCCTTCACCAGGAGCGAGGGCAGCCCGGAGGAGAGCCTGCTCACTGTCACCATCACGGAGACCACAGTCCTCGAGTCAGGCCTGGGCGTGTGGAGCCCGCGGGCCCTCAGCTACCTGTCGCTCTGGTTCTTCCTCAGCTTCTGCACGCTGTTCCTCAACAAGTACATCCTGTCCCTGCTGGAGGGCGAACCCAGCATGCTAGGTAGTGCCCGGCCGGGAGGGAATGTGGGCGGAGGGCTCAGCGGGCAGTGTGGTCAGCGTGGCCCCCGCGCCCCTCAGGTGCCGTGCAGATGCTGTCGACCACGGTCATCGGGTGTGTGAAGACGTGCCTGCCCTGCTGCCTATACCAGCACAAGCCCCGGCTGGCCTACCCACCCAACTTCATCGTGACCATGCTCTTTGTGGGCCTGATGAGGTAAAGACTGGCACTCGCCGAGTGYCAGTTACTCCAGGCATGAGATGCCTCTGACCACTGATGGTGGGAGCGCTTCTGCCGGCCGTGGCTGGGCCCTGCTGGGGAGTGTCGGGCCTGGGCCTGAGGAGGCAGTTTGTGCATCTCCATGCCATGTGTCCTYACCAGATTGTTTGTCAAGAACCAGTTTAGCATCAGCTGGAGGGAAGGTGCCTTCTCCCAGGGTGCTGCCCKGGTGTCCCCCAGCCTGAGGGAGTCACACTCGGGGTGCTAAGCCGTGGCCGGCAGGGTGGTGCTGGCRAGGCTGGTCTGACCAGAGTGCCAGTGCTGAGGATGCCCGTGCTTGCTGTTAGGTTCGCAACGGTGGTTCTGGGGCTGGTCAGCCTGAAGAACGTGGCAGTTTCCTTTGCCGAGACAGTGAAGAGCTCTGCCCCGATTTTCACCGTGATCATGTCTCGGATGATCCTGGGGGAGTACACAGGTGAGTGGCCCTGGAGCCGGGCTCACTGTCCTGTCCTCCCTGCAGTGTGCTCCAGCTCAGAGCAGCTACAGCCCTGGGGTCACAAAGTGCCAGCTCCTCGCCGCCCCTCCCTGACATTTGCTTAGGGTCATGAGTGCCTCACGGGCCACCTGACAGATGTCTCCTGTGCCTACCAGGAGTAGGGTGCTCGCAGGTCAGAGGGAGCTGTGCCTCATGCCCCAGCCTGGTGGAGAGACAGGCAGCAGTGTGTCCGGGGTGGGGCCTGACTCCAGTGGGCAGTAGGTGAGCTTCCTAGGGTGGCTCCACCATCTCCCCTGAGCCTCAGCACTTGGGCTCATCTTCGGACSGGCAGTCGTTTCTGGGGACCCTCCCATGTCTCTCCATGTTGCCAGAGCGTGACTGTGGGTCTCAGGGCTCTGAGGCCCAGCATACACCCCTCACWGAGGAGGGCCCCAGTGTGCAGGCTGCTGCAGGGTGAGCCTTACTTGGGCTTCCTCTTGGTTTGTCTCCCTGTGACTTGAGGAGCTGGTGGCCTTTGTTTTGGAGTCAAAGTGAAAGCCCCACCTGTCATCCGAGGGGGTGGGAGGTGCCTGGGCCCTTGGAGGGATCTGTGCCAGTCCTACCTGTGCGTCCTGCCCTTCAGGACTGCTGGTAAACCTGTCCCTCATCCCCGTCATGGGAGGCCTGGCCCTGTGCACAGCCACTGAGATGAGCTTCAACATCCTGGGCTTCTCAGCTGCATTGTCCACCAACATCATGGACTGGTGAGTCACTAAAGATGTGCAGGATGGGGGTGCCTGGAAATGGCGCTGGCCCTCCTCCTGCATTCAYGGGTATTCACGCCCAGGCTGGCTCAGAGTCACTCCTGCGATTCAGCAGGGCTCCCAGTGCCTTTTCCTGAATAGCAAAGCGGTAAGTCCCCAGTGAGGCACCTTCTTCTCAGAAGCAAGCCTGACCCTGAGGATGCAGTCCTACTTCAGACGCTGCTCAGGCTGACAGTCACCAGGCCTCAGGCTGAGCACAGGCTCTGGGTCGTGGTGGTGCTCACAGGTGCGTCTGCTCTCCTGGTTAAGTGGCCGTCCACGTTCARCTGCAAAGAGGCTACCTCTGGTGGCAAGAAACTGCCACATAGCCAGGCCCTGGGAGGCGTGCGGTGTTGCTGGGGTCCTGTGCAGGCAGAGGCCAGGACGCCTTCCAGCCACCGTTTTGATTGGTGCAAAGCAGGTGGTTCCCCACCCGCTGTCAGCCCTGCAAAACCTTCTCTCAGGGTTACTGACTACTGCTGGGTCCCTCTCATTTCTGAGTGAGGTGGGGAAAAGCAGCCAGGCTTCCAGGAACAGGAGCAGGTCGGCCCTCCTCTCACAGCAGGGAAGAGCTGGCAAGTCTGAATAGTGCAGCTGCCTCTAAAAGACAGAAATCATCTTTCTGTTTTGGTCCTGGTGTTGAACTGGGGTGCTCACCCTGAACTCCACCCTGAGCAGCACCTTGAGCTGCACCCCGAGCTCCACACTCCACCCCGAGCTGTATCCCGAGCTCCACCTGAGCTCCACCCTGAGCTCCACCTGAGCTCCACCCTGAGCTCCACCCAGAGCTCCACCTGAGCTCCACCCTGAGCTCCACCCGAGCTCCAACCCAAGCTCCAACCTGAGCTCCTGACAGCCCTTGCCACTCTCTTGCACTGTGTTTGTGTCCTAGGAGTGTGCCAGGGCCGCACCACCTGTGCGTGTGATAGGTCTCTGTCAGCTTGTTGGAGGGGCATCACGGCATCAGGTGTCCACAGCCTGATTTCCAGGAAGGCCTCTTGTTCATACGCAGGCAGGACTTCATGTTCACAGGCAACCTGCTGAATCCTGTGCTCGAGGTCCTGGTTTCTGGCTGTCCTCGGAGCATCTTAAGGCAGATAGATTGCCTGGCGGAGCTGGGAACCTCTGGAAGGGCTGGGGCCAGGGTCACAGAATCTCGAGCCCGAGCCCTAGTCCGGGCCCATGGCGGGCCAGTAGTGCTCACATCACCAGTCCTCTAGGATGCTGGCGTAGTCAGTCACAGCTCACACTGTGCTGGGTGCTGGGTGCTGGCGAAGACACATGTCCTGTGTACCCCAGCCGTGTGTGTCCCCACAGCCTGGTGTTCGTGAGCTCTGGCCGTGTTTTCCCACAGGGTCTCCATGTAGGTGAAGTCTGTTCTGCTCAGTCACGCCCGCCTCTGAGAGCCCCAGGTGCCTGACTGAGGCAGGCTGTGACTCATGGGAGTTTTATCCAAGAAGGGTTTTGTGAAGCCTGAGATAGGACCCTGAGTACTTCCTCTTGCCCACCTGTGAGGAGTGGCATGGTGCCCACCTCCCAGCAGGCAGATGCTTGGAACCCCTGGTGGGGCACCTGCTCCCAGCAGGTGCTCAGTGCTGTCCACCAGGCATGGCCATTGATGTCACTGCTAACAGGAAGCCCAGCCCCTTCTCCTGAGGGCCACGCCGACTCAGTTCCATCCTTAACCTTCTCTTCTCTCTGTTCTAGTTTGCAGAATGTTTTTTCAAAAAAGCTCCTCAGCGGGGACAAATACCGTTTCTCGTAAGTGTCACAGAGGGTGGACATCTGATTTTGTAAGGCCCATGAGGACTTTTGCCCATTTAAGTTTCCAAATACTGTTGGACAGGATGGCACACACCTGTGATCCTAGTGACTTGGGAGGCTGAAGCAGGAGGACCTAGAGTTCAAACTCTAGCCTCAGCAATTTAGTGAGATCTTGTCTCAAAATAAAACATAAAAAGGACTGGGGATGTGGCAAGGGAGTGGTCATGGGCCCTGGGTTCGATCCCCAGTGCCAAGAAAGAAGACTCCAGATGCTCCTGGAAGACATGGCATGTTTCCCCCTGGGCTTAGGAGGCTTTGGAAGTATTTTGTCAAAAAGTAGGGGAAGGCCGGGCCTGGTGGCAATGCCTGTACTCCTAGCTGCTCGGGAGGCTGAGACAGGAGTATCATGAGTTGAAAGCCAGCCTCAGCAACAGCGAGGCAAGGCGCTAAGCAGCTCAGTGAGACCCTGTCTGTAAATAAAATTCAAAATAGGGTGGGGATGTGGCTCAGTGGTCAAGCTCCCATGAGTTCAATCCCTGATACCCAACCCCACCAAAAAAAAAAAAAAAAAAAAATAGGAGAAAAGGAAAACTCAGGGAAAGGACCCTTCAGCTTCCTTGTAGGCCTGTCTGACAGCCAGCCTGGTCCTCGTTGCCTTCTCAGTTCTGGGCAGCCATGGGTGTCCACGTCTGTGTGTCAGCACTGTGATGTGTTCTTTCGTGAAATCCCCAGGGAAATCCCGGCCCCCAGGCACGGGGAGGTCAGGAGTCTTCTGTCCCCACAGGGCCCCGGAGCTGCAGTTCTACACCAGCGCTGCTGCTGTGGCCATGCTGATCCCTGCCTGGATCTTCTTCATGGTGGGTTTTAGAAGTGGGCCTCCCACTGTAGCTGGGCCCCATCTCTCTGGCAATTTCTGACACAATGACTTACCTTTGCGAGTGGATGGCTGGGGGGTATGTGCTTTGGAGTGGGCTGTACATACAGGAGCTGTCCACAGCTGCAGCAACTTGCAGAGATATCTGTGTGAGGATTTTTAGATTTGTTTAAATTATTTTTTTAATTGGATTTAATTTTTGCAGTGCTGGGGATTAAATGCAGGGCTCTCTACCACTGAGCTGCACTCGCATCCCTTTTTACTTTTCTCACTACGTTGTGGGGTTGACCTGGAACTTGCCATCCTCCTGCGTCAGCCTCCTAAGTCRCTGGGATCACAGGTGTGCAGCAAGTGATAAATGCCTGCTGCAGAACAGGCAGTGTTGGGAGTGAAGCCCGAGCCGCCCTCCCTGGCCTCACTGCCACACTTACCTGTGCGTGATGGTGTGAGTCCACGCGTGTGCCAATGCACGCACCATGCCCGCGTCACGCCTGTGCAGACCTTTCCCTTCACCATGGACACACCCAGCTGGGGGCCCTGGCTGCCTCCCGCCCTCTCCTCTTGGGAACAGTGGCGAGTTTCTCCCACCCGTGTGCCATACACCCACGAGGGCGTTTCCTGGGTCACCTTCTCAGAGCTGGAGYGCGCTGCGTGTCTGCATATTTCTTTATCGTGATGAAACACACAGGACAAGAGCTTCCTGTCTCGATCCTGTCAAGTCCAGGGGCACTAAGCAGAACATGTTCCCGGTGTCCATCACACAGCCCACCCAGAACTTCCTCTCCAGCCCAGACCTGCGCCCTGTCCAGGGCTCCCCTCCGTCCCCAGCCCCATTGCCACCGCCTCCTCTCTGGCTCTGGGCAGTCAACTCCTCTGAGGGCTTCTGCTGGTGGGATCCACAGTGCTTGTCTTTTGTGTCTGGTCAGCACGACCTTTTTTGTATGTGTGGTGCTGGGCATGGAACCCAGGCCTCGTACACGCCCGACRGGCGCTCTGTCCCCAGGTTGCCCTCCGCCCAGCACAGCTTTTCTGAGGTTCTTCTCTGATGTGGCATGTGCCAGCCTAGCTCCTCCTTAAGGCCGAGTGTTCCCCAAGTGTAGGCAGACCTCTCTGGTTTGTCCACTCACCATCCATAGGCACTCGAGAGTGCTGCTGCTGGGAACTCCGGTCACACGTCTCCCTGGGAGGCCCTGATTTCAGCTTTTTGGGTATGTGCCCGGCAGTGGGACTGCRGGATGCTGCAGTGGCCTGTGTTTGGTTCCTGGAGGGACTGCCACCCTGGTCACCACCACACCGTTGTGCAGGCTACTGTTTCCCCAGACCCTCTGCAGCACTTTCTGGCTTGTGCTGAGGGCCATTGAGGGCTTTTGGTGGTAGCTGTCCTCACAGAAGTGAGGTGGTTCTGTCGTCCCTCCCTCGTGACAGCGTCTGTGTGCTTGCGGGGGATCCCGAGTGTGGCAGTTCTGCAGGGACCTTCCTTTGTGCCCTCCTTAGCGGGCCAGCAGAGCAGCCTTTGGTTCTGGCCCTAGGACATGCCCATGATTGGGAGGAGCGGGACAAGCTTCAGCTACAGCCAGGACGTGGTGATCCTGCTCCTGACAGATGGTGCCCTGTTCCACCTTCAGAGTGTCACTGCATATGCCCTCATGGGGAAGATCTCCCCGGTGACATTCAGGTAAGCAGAGACTTCCCGAGGGGCACAGTGTGTCCAGGTGTTTTGCAGAGAAGACCTGAAGTCTGGCGTCTTCCGTGGGGACGCCTGGTGCCCCGTGCCCAGTCGCTGGGCCGTTCTGCACCAGCACCATGTGAATGTGAAGTGCAGTGAGCCTGAGAGGAGACGTCCCCACAGGTTTCCACTAGAAGTTGACATTAGAGACGTTTTTGGGACTGGCTGAGTGTTTTTCTCAACAGAGCAGCCAATGGCACTGTCTATGAGAGTGGGACCTCCTGCCTTTGTGCTGTCCAGCACAGGAGCCGCTGGCCACACATGGCTCCTGAGCACTCGAAATGTAGCAGGTGCAGCACCAAACAGGGATCCCTTTTGCGTATGGTGCCAGGGGTGGTGGACATGTGCTGGACAAGTGCCTCAGCTGCATCCACTCGGGGTACTTTTTTTTTTTTTTTTTTTTTGGTACCAGGGATTGAACTCAAAGCACTTAACCACTGTATTTTATTTAGAGACAGGGTCTCATGAGTTGCTAAGAGCCTTGTCAAGTTGCTGAGGCTGGCTTTGATCCTATGCTTCAGCCTCCCTAGCCACTGGGATCACAGGCGTGTGCAACCATGCCTGGCCCTTTCTCTCATTCTTTAGAGAACAGGATGAAGTATTTAGTGGCAAAATGGTGCAATGTCTATGAGTTATTTTAAAATATCTCAACACAAAGAAAGAAAGAAGCACATGTAGCAAAAGCTATTCACCAAATCTAGCTGCTGGGAATGTGGCTGTTGGCTGCCAGGTTTTTCCACTTTTCTGTTTGAAATTTTTCATAACAAAAAGTGACCCCAGGGGGGCTGGGGATGTGGCTCAAGCGGTAGCGCGCTCGCCTGGCATGCGTGCGGCCCGGGTTCGATCCTCAGCACCACATACCAACAAAGATGTTGTGTCCTCCAAGAAGTAAAAAATAAATTAAAAAAAAAAAAAAAAAGTGACCCCAGAGAAAGAGGGAAGGAAGGAGGGACCAGGTGACGCCCTGTCTCCCACAGGCCCCGTGCAGCTCCACCTGGGTGCCCACAGGACTCTCCAGGCTGGCTGCACATGGCCTGGGCTGAGCGTCCCCTGCCTCTGCCCTTTTGCCACAGCGTCGCCAGCACCGTGAAGCACGCCTTGTCCATCTGGCTCAGCATCATCGTCTTCGGCAACAAGATCACCAGCCTGTCAGCTGTCGGCACCATTCTCGTGATGGTGGGTGTCCTGCTCTACAACAAGGCCAGGCAGCACCAGCAGGAAGTCATGCAGAGCCTGGCCACAGCCACCAGCTGGGTCCCCGAGGACGACACAGAACCAGTGGGTCCCCAGGACTCCAGACAGCATGTTCACCCCTGAACACGGGAGGCCTCTGGCTGCCTGGGCACTGCATGCTCCCCCTGCCGCTGCATGGTCCCTGGAAACCAGCCAGGGCTGCCCCCTGCATTACACAGTGGGCTGAGRGCCAGAGGCTCCAGGGACCAGCCCTCGTGGGACACAGACTCCACTGACAGCTGAGCACTGGAGGAGGGACCAGCCTGCACCCCCAGGCTGACCAGGCTGCAGCTGGGCCAGACCCCACCACCTCTGAAGGGACTACTGGGCCACATGTGCCCGGGCTCCAGTGCCAACACGAGCTTCTCCCTGCCTGGTGCCAACAGAGACCTCAGCTCCCACACCAGCCACCACAGGCACCGAAGCTGCCTGGTCCCCAGCCATCCACAGACCATCCCAGGTGCCAGACCTGGGCATCAAGGCCACAGGAGCCTGCAAAACACAGAGCAGGCTGACAGGTCCCTAAGCAGAGGTCTCAGCTGCTGAGAGGGGGCGAGACTCCTCTCGCTGCTTCAGAGCTGTCCTTATGGAGGGCCCTATGGCTGCCATTTGACCCCATAGCCACAACATCATGTGACAGGGATTGTCCACTGAATTGCTCTGTGAGGGGAAAAGCCACCCGTCGCAGCCTGGCACCGTGCCCCTCACCRCGGGGGTGGTTGTTCATTCTGGAGGCTGAGGACAGATCTCTCTGGGGGGTTAGCTCCATTCACACCTCAGACTCGTGTGTGAAGCGGGCTGTACTGAGGTCCCTGATCTCCTGCTGGAGTCCGCGGGGTGGGGGGGCAGCTGAGCAGGGGAGCCCTTGCAGAGCACTTAGCACTCAGGTTATGCTGCGTGACACTCGACTTTCCAACAAAGCTGCAGCCACATGGCTTGTGGACCTGGTGTGTCAGGTGGCCATGTCCAGGTACACAGCCATGGCTGCCCCCGAGGGACCACGATATGGTAGCGCCCCAGCCACTGGGCGGACTGAGTCTCAACTGGGTACTAGAGCTGCAGTCAGGCTGGCACTGGCTCTGCCCTTCGTCCTGCTGGAGTCTGACCTGGGTGCAGGCACTCTTTGGCCAGCCAGTCTGAAACCTCTGTGCCCTGAGCTTGGGCTTGTGGGCTGCAGCCACTGGGCACCCACTGTTCCCGGGCCTATCCCCCCACCACTCGTCAGGTCAGGGGCAACCATCATCAGCTTACTGGTATTCCAGTTGTCTTCTCAGCTGGGGAATAGGAAAACAGTTCCTCCCAGAAGTAAACTCCCAGAAACAAAGAGCAATAATCATGCCTCATTTCTTTCCACCTACTTGAAAAGGTTTTTCATGATGATGGATCAAAATGAGGTCTTTTAATCCACAAGCCGCCTTTTTAAAGAAGCTGGCCTGTGTGCGAGGATGGGCCAGCTGTGTGCTCCTGCACGCAGGGTCACCTCCACTGTGAAGATATTTTCCTGTGTGATTCTGCCCAGGTTTCTGTTTCCTTCCTCTTCTGCTTTCCCCCAAAACTGAAGAAAAAGAGGTGGAGGTGGCATTTGGGTGGTGCTGTTGGATTGATCTGCACCAAGGCCTGGTCCACTCCCAAGCACATGCTACCAAGCTCTGACAGAGTGAGGGGTAGGCACTTTTGAGTTTGCTGAGAGGTCCAGGCGCCTGGCTTCCGAGTATTGTTTGGAATTTCTGGTGCGCTATCTCCTGTGGAATTAGGAAGTTGCCTGTTGTGACTCACCCCTCCCCTYCTGCTTCAAAAGCAGCACTCAGCTTGTTTTGATTTCCTTAAATCACTAGCAAGCAAGGCAGTTCCTGTAAGGATGCTTTGGAAACCTCCATGCATCCTGGGCAGGAAGATGGTGGAAGCCTAGCTTGGCCAACACCAAGCCCTCACCCACGCCCACCTTCCTTCCTGTCTTGCACCAACCCCTACTTCTCCTGGCACTTCTAGGACATACCCAAGGCCTGGCTTGGCCCTGTGCTGACGATTCTCTCTTATTATGTCTGTCTAGTCTTTTATGGAACCACGGCAGATGTGGTGTGGGAGCCCAGGTGCTGGACCACTGCTGGGCTGGTAACTCCTCCTGTGGCCTTGGTCTGTGCCTTGTAAACAGCACACCAACCAGACCTTCCCAGTGGGGTATCTGCTTCTTCCTTAACCCATACTTAGATGTGTATAGATTTCAAATTTTGAAACGACTTCCATGGGGGCTGGGGAGTAACTCAGTGGTCGACCACTTGTCTAGAGTATGCAAGGCCCTGGGTTCCATCCAGAGCACTACAAGGGAAAAATGAAAACCTCCACTACTAACTGCATAAAATGCTTTTTTAAAAATCTGATAGTCATAATTTCCTGTATATCAGCATTAAGAGTCTGCCTGCTGGGAAGTTGAGAACACTCTTGCACAATTCAAAATGTCTCTAATTTTTGAAAAATGAACAGTGAGTCAGAGACAGTTTTAAAAAATGCTACATAAAGAAATCAACAAAATAGAGCTGCTTTGTAGCATGTCTTAAAATGCTTGTCAGAAACTTGTGGGCTTAGCTTCCCTGTGAATGACCACTAAAACAGGTCAGTGGACAGCAGAGGCACAGCAGCTTTTATACCTGTCCAAGTGATGGRCTTGTGTGTTTTGTTTAGGTGCTGGGGCACTCCATCACCAAGCTACATCCCAGCCCTTTTTATTTTTTATTTTGAGTCACTAAATCACCCAAGCTAGCCTCAAACTTGCCATCCTCTTTCCTCAGCCTGCTAAGTTGCTGTGGTCACAGGTGTGCGCTACTGTGCCCAGCTCCAAGCATTGTGCTTTCTAAGGTCTGGAAGTATTTACCCTGTTACCCTGGGTTGGAAAAAGTAAGCACCTATGTTATCATAGACAGAAATCAATTTTTTAAATTTTTTTTGTAGTTGTAGATAGACAGAATGCCTTTACTTTTTTTTTTTTTTTTTTTTTTTTAATGTGGTGCTGAGGATTGAACCCAGTGCCTCAGGCATGCTAGGCAAGCACTTTGCCACTGAGCTACAGCCCCAGTCCCAATTTTTTGTGGGGGTGGGGTTTTCTACCAAGGGCTTCATTCCTTCTTAAAATATGTTCACTGCCTGGTTGGAACTTCTTTTATGTGGGATCAAACCCAGAGCCTAGCTCATGGTAGGCAAGTGCTCTACCACAGGGCTACGCCCTCCACCTATTAAATTGAAAAATGAGAACATCCCASCTTTCCTGATGAACATCCCTGCTCCTCTGCCCTGTCTAAGGAGCCAAGAGCAGATCCTTCAGGTCATGCTGATTGTGAGTTGCTGCTAACTGCAGCTCAGTACAGAAAACTTCAACTTCACACTCTCTGGSATATTTCTCCCTGTTTTGCTGGGGTTCTTGGTTCTGGGTTTGGTAGTTGCTGGACCATTACTCAGACATCCAAATTCAGTTTGAAAAGTCTTTTGTTTTCATTTCTGGAAAAGTGCATTCAGCTCATTTGCAATTTCTAAACTATTTGCGGACATATGCTCCTGCCTTCAGGGTATTGTAGACTCCATCCCAGAGGACTTCAGTAGGGTGACATTCCCACACTGAAAAACTTGATAATCATATCAGTAATTGCCTGCATCAGAGCCAAATTACATTTGCTTTATACCAAACAAGACTGWGGAGAACTATCATACAAAACGTTTATGCTGTTTTGTGTGTCACCTATTTCAGTATTTATGTGACTAGATTAATGCTTTCAAAAAATTTGGTTCTCTTAAATAACTTAGGTGAATCCCTGTTAATTCCACTCTGGTAATAAACTGGTACTGTGTAATTAATCCTGTGGATGCCTCCTGGTTACTTTTGTCTAAATGAAGCAGCTAAGGTAGCCATGGTCAGTGGCTCATGTTCTGCAAAAGGGGAATCAATGTCAAGTGTGCACTTCTTCCATTTTCCTTTGTATCTCTTCCATTTATGCTAACAAAATTATCAAACTCGGTTTCTTAATTGCCTTCACCAGTTTYTGGCAGGGAGGGAGGGGAAAAATAAAGGCTCTCCAGTAACTAAAATTCGGGAAGTAAGCATTTCATTCAAGAGGGGAAAGAATCCCAATACCCCTCAACTTTTTTTATGCCCTTGTCTATTTCTTGTTAGTCTTCTGCATTTTTCCATTTCAGATCCATGGCTGGTTAACTTCAATAGTCTCTTCAAAATGATTCAGGATGTTGCTGGACTTAAAAGTCCACAGCATAACTTGACATGGATATATGGAACACTAGTCCCATTTTAGCAAGTCTCCCAGGAAAGTTCTGAATTCTGTAGGCTGAGTGAGACTTAGGGACCCTGAAAAACAAAACTGCCCATGGATTTGAAGGGCATCTTTTCAAAAGAACAATGCAACAGCATCACACTGTGAAGCTCTCTCCCTGCTCTATTTTTGTACACGTTTAAAAAACAAAATTAGGGCTGGGGATGTGGCTCAAGCGGTAGCGTGTTCGCCTGGCATGCATGCGGCCCAGGTTCGATTCTCAGCACCACATACCAACAAAGACGTTGTGTCCGCCGAAAACTAAAAAAAAATAAATATTAAAAAAATTATCTCTCTCTCTCAAAAAAAAAAAAAAGAAAGAAATTCTCTTTAAAAAATAAATTAAAAAAAAAATAAAAAACAAAATTATAAGGGCTGGGGTTGTGGCTCAGTGGCAGAGAGCTTGCCTCACACATGTGAGGCACTGGTTCTATCCTCAGCACCACATAAAAATAAATCAATATATAAAGATTTTTTAAAAACTTATGGCTAGGGTTGTGGCTCAGTGGTAAAGTGCTCTCCTGGCATGTGTGGGGGMTGGGTTCCATCCTCAACACCACATAAAAATAAAATAAAGATGTTGTGTCCACTGAAAACTAAAAAATATTAAAAAATTCTCYTAAAAAATAAAAGTATTAAACAAACAAAATTATGAGCCAGGCACAGTGGCCTGTAGTCCCAGCAGCTCAGGTGGCTCAGGTCTTAAGCAACTTTGAAAGACCATGTTTCAAAATAAATTTAAAAAGTGAGATGCGGCTCAGTGACTAAGCACCTCTGGGCTCAATCTCTGGTACCAAACAACAAAACAAAATCAGCCAGGTGCCCATGGGGCAGACGTGTCATCCAAGGTGGGAAACGGAAGCAGGAGGATCACAAATTCCTGCCAGGCTGAGTAATTAGCAGGATCCTGTCTCGAAATAACAAAAAGGACTGGGCATGTAGCTGGCAGAGCGCTTGTCGAGGTTCTGGAGCACTGACTCTCCCCGCCAAATTACAACAAAAGTTCTTAACTGGCTTTATTTGCGATTCCAAAATGGGARTGAATCGAATGACTGGACCCCTGAGCAGAGAAGTCGTTACGACAGAAAAATGCCAAGGAGCAGAATTTGCTCGCGTGGACAGGCTGGAGCGGGGCTTCCTGCAGCCCGAGCCCCGACGCTCTTTCCCCAGGCTCGGAAGGTTTCCGCTGCGTGGTGTGGCCTTCGCACCAGCGCGGCGCGGTGGTCCGTCGGGAGGACGCAGCTCTTCCGCAACAGAGCGCTCAGCGCGTCGCCGAACCCGGCCGCCCCTCGAGCAGACRAGCCCGGCGGTGGCGCCGCACGAAGGGTGCGGTCGCCTCCGTCCACCTATCGACATCAAAGAGATCGACCCAACCCAGTGTCGCTCTCGGAGCAGGACTCGCCCAGGACGGCGCCACGACACCTGCGTCACCAGCCCGTGACGCTCAGAGCTACAGCACGCGAGGACTTCCTCGCCTCTAGTCCTAGACCGGAAGTTGCCTTGCCCCGTGCGTCATCAGCATGCGCCGACACAGGAAGTGRCGACACTCCTGACGCCTGACAGGTGCTGTTTCCTCTCAGAGTCCTGGGTCGGAATTCCCCAGCCCCTATTCTCGTGTGTCATCATCGGGCGCCAAAGCAGGAAGTGACGACGCTCCTGGCGCGCGCCGGCCGCTGTTTCTTCTCAGGCTCGGGGAACGGCGGCGGCGGCGGCGGCGGCGGTGGCGGCGGTGGCGGCGGCGGTGGCGCTGGGGTGAGTGGCGGCTGGGCGGCCCGGGCCTGGGAGCGCGGGGCGGCCGGCGGCCCCGAAGTCTCGCGAGCGAACGGCCCTCGGGGCTGTAGGGGGCATGGGTTCCGCGGCGGGCGACATTCCCGCTCCGCTGTCCAGTCGCGTCCCGCTCCGAGCTTCGGGCGGACGCGGTGGCGGGCCCCGGCGCTCTCCTGAGCCGGGCGCTCCTTCTCCGAGCACCTGCCTCCCCCGGCCCCTCGATGCCCTGTGACGGAGGGTGCAGCTGTCCAGCGGCCAGTGCCATCATTTAGCCCAGTGGTCTTTCTGACATATTCTTTTGACACCGAGGGCAGCGCTTGATGAGTGCCAGGCACTGAGCCAAGAGCTTTTAGCTGGATGATCTCCTGTAATCCTCGCGCGATCCCTTTCGGTAGGTGTTGTTCCCATCGGTGGGAAAGCCGAGTGCACTGTTGCCCAAGACCTCGGAGGAGCGAGAAGAGACGAGAGGCCAACAGTCCCTTTTCAGAGCCCTCCTCACGAGGACTTATGCTGAAAACTCAAAAGTGACTAAGTTCAGAAGCAGCAGAGCATCAAACCATAGTTGGCTGTGTCCCGAGGTCCCTTGAATTATGTTTCTTTTTGCAGCGTTTTAACTCAAATGGGTGATGAAAAGGACTCTTGGAAAGTGAAAACTTTAGATGAAATTCTCCAGGAAAAGAAACGAAGGAAGGAACAAGAGGAGAAAGCAGAGATAAAACGCTTAAAAAATGTAAGCTATGTTTTTTAAGTAAGTGATTTTCTTAAAGGAGATTTAATTTCTTTGCCCTCATTTTTCCATTAGAACAACGCTTCTTCGGTGAAGTTCTTTTGTACTTCCAAATGTCACAGGTGAGCCCAAATCTATTCTAAAAATTAACAAAAACATTCACATGATCAGTTTACATTGAAAGCAGATTGATAACACTGAAGCTGTGTCTAGATAAGAATGTCTACGTGGAGAATAAAATGTTCTGAACCTAGAATCAATAGTGTGAACAGACTAACTTTTCTCATTTCATTATTAGCGTATTCATAGTATCGTTTCCAAGTATTTTTAATATAGTGGGAACTTGCCTTAAAATTAATATGAATGTTTCGTATTTTTCTTGATTTGCATAACATATCAAAAGATTTTTAGTAATTGGATAAGAAGCATTGGCATTAGGAACCTCTTCTGATAAGATCAGGAACAGATTATTTCAAAGTATATATAAGTATTATATGAGGTATCAGAAGTATTTGGTGTCCAAAATGTGGCTTAAGCCTCAGCAACTAACAGGRTCTAATATCTTTTGTCACGTATGCTGGTTTTAAATTTTCTATCCCAGGTTTTGGGTTACAGAGAATTGTAATTTTAATGCCATGGGATTTGAATGACTTTTTATATTGTGTGATATTTATCCTTTCAAAGTATGCGTGAAAGCTTCCTTTGGTATGTTGACAAAGTTTGGTTATCATTAAAAATACATTTATAAGAAAGTGACTAATTTTCTCTTTGTTTCTTAGTCTGATGACCGGGATTCCAAACGGGATTCCCTTGAGGAGGGGGAGCTGAGAGATCACCGCATGGAGATTACAATCAGAAACTCACCATACCGWCGTGAGGATTCTATGGAAGACAGGTGAGAATGCAAAGTCATTAGGAGCAAGAGTGAGCAGACTGGGGAGTACTCTACATGAACGAGGTCTTGACCTCACAGTTACCTGAAAAGCGTAACCTCACAGTTGAGGCTAGATGGAGTCCATTATCCCTATTTTCCCTCTTACACAAAGACTGAATGAGCATGTATTCCTTTCTCAGTGATAATTCTTCAGTTAGACCAGCACCACTTAGATCATACAATTAGATATTTGCATGTTATTGAAAGTTCAAGATTCTATATGTATCTAAAGTAGAATGCTGAGAGGGCCACAGTCAGAAATGTTTAGCCCGTTAAGTGAGTGTTTTCTTTTTTTCTTTTTGTTTTTGTGGGTTTGGTGTGGATCTTTTTTTTTTTTTTTTTTTTTTTTTT